ATCGGCGATACAGCGGCGAGGTCCGCGTGAAGAACATCGGGCTCCGCATCGAGCCGCATCGCTCGTGCATCGACGATGCGGCGAGATCCTCTGACCCCATCTACTCGGACCCCATCGAGAAGGCCTAGAATACAAGAGGAGGAGCGAGGAGAGGACGCGGCCGAAGGAAACCAGGGGAACAAAAACAGCCAAACATCCGACATCATGACGTGCTAGTGACGTGGGCCCCTGGATCTCGCACGACCGGGAACGCCCCTATGGCCCCGAGGAGCTTCCTGGGCAATCCCCCGGACATCCGACGCCAGCCCTGCGCGGCGACCCGCCCCTGCACCGGCGGTGGTGGGCAGACTTTCCACCACCACTGTAGGACGGGGGAGAAGGGGGTATGAGGAGGTCCTCATCATCCTCCTCTTCCTCCTCCTCCTCCTCCTCTTCCTCCTCTTCCCCCTCCTCCTCGTCCTCCTCCTCCTCCTCCTCCTCCTTTTCCCTCTCCTACTTATGGCAACGCTGCCGCCTCTCTTTTGCCTGCACTCCGCGCGTCGCTTCATGGGGTCGCGACTCCTACTTATGGCAACGGTGGTGGGAAATGGGCCCATCAGGCGGGGCCCTGGCCGGCCGTGACCAGCCCCGGCTGCGTACGGCAGGCTCGTGTCGCGACGACTTCCGTTGGCTTCTGACACCGCGCTTGCCAGCGCTCGGACGTCCTTTCCCCGTGCCTTTTTCGGCCTCGTGCGTGCATGTTCTTTTCAGGATGCTCCAAGATGCTCCTCGAGGGCCCTCGCCGAGAAAAACGTGACCTGCACGGGTCCGAGCCGGGCCAAGCGCGTGGACCGCTCCACACTGGAGCGGTCGCGGCTTCTCGACATCGCAGACCCTTCGATCGATGCTGGCCGACTCTGGGCCTGCGGGATTCGGCACCCTCTCAGGGGCCGCCGCAACGTCAACAGGACACGAACTTGCCGTGCCCACCGCTCGGGCCGCTGGCCCTGCTCCGGCGGGAAGATGCACGGCGCCGCGGCCAGATTCGTCCTGCCTCGCACCCGCCGCCCGCCCCACCCTCGGCGGGGCCCCAGTGGCGGGCACCCGGCCCTGGCCGGCCCCGGCGTGGCCGAGCTCTGTGAAGAGCTGGCCGTGACGACTTCTTCCTGACGCAGGGGCCCGGGCACGCGTGCGCAACGGCAGGCCCGCGCCGTGTGAGGACCCACGCGTCGGCTTCCGACGCCGCGTGGATCGTTCAACCTTGCAGGATCGCGGCTGTCCGCTGCGGCATCGGGCCACCTGCGGCGCTAAAACCCTGCACGTCCGCGGGACGGCGTGGACATGCCGTGGGGCTCTTCCGAGGTCCCCGCGCGCGCGCGCTCGAACGCGCGGCAGGGCCTCGTCGGTGGCGGCCCAAGCGGCGACGTCGTTCCAGAGCGCCGCCGAGAGCAGCCGCACCTGGGAAATGGCGAGGGCGGCAGCGGCGGCGGGGCCGGCGACGGCGGTGACGGGCGGGCGGCTGTGTGGTGGCGGCGGCGAGTCCCTCCGGGGCACCGCGAGGAAGCAGCCGCCTGAGGGAGCGGCGGCGCCGGCAGCGGTGCAGGCGGCAACAAAGATAGGGTGGCACGGGCTTGGGTCCGAAGGCCCGGGTTCAGGAAGGCGAAGAAGGGTGACAGGCACCAAGAGCACGCAGGGCGCGACGCTGGCGGCGCCGCGGAAACAGAACACCCAAGGATACCATCCCCAGGAAGCACAGGAACATCCAGCAGACACGAAGAACACTAGGGTACCCTCCCTGAACCGACCTCGATCTTATACCTCGGTCCGACTGTGCAAGGAGGGAAGAGAAGGAGGACAGGGACTGCAAGGCTGTGACCGAAAGTGCATGCTGGGGTGAGAGACTCCCAGCGCCCTCCTTCGAGGAAGAGGTCGAGCTGCGGATGCCGCAGCTCTATCGGGACGACGCCGCCTGGGCCTTAGCCGCCTCCTCCAACCTGATGCGGTCGTGCACGGCGGCCATGGGGTAAGGAGGGAGGGGGAGGAGTAGAGAAGGGTGCTGCGCGGCAAACGTCGCCGATGATGGTACTCGGCGGCCGGCGATGTCCCACCACTCTCTCGCAATGCTGAGCAAACATTTGGAAACGCAGAAGCAACTTCAATGACCATAGCGCGCGTGTTCTCGGAACGCCCACAGACAGCATCTTGTGTTACATATTGAACTACCCTGATCGGGGCAGCGGAAGCACCAGCACAAGCACGAACACACCGCCAGGGTTTGACCGTTGCTCCCTCCGAGATCTAAGACGAAATCGTTGAGTTGGATGCTGGACATACTGCAGCTTTCCAAACACGTAAAGGGGAACAATGTTAATCGTCTCCTGGACCAACCAGAAACAAACGCAACCTTCCTGTCAGAATCCGCCGACCCCTTGGGGGGTACTAGGCGTGTGAGAAGCTTGTCCCGCCCCCAAAGCCCCTCCCCCGGAGCTCGGTCTGGCCAATTCTGAGGTGGGGGGTTCGGAGACATTGCACCGGGGGAGTTCTATGCTTCATAAGTCTTCCCAGACTGCCCCAGAAGGCCTCCACAAGTGCCTACGAAGCCTCAAGACAGCCCTAGATGCTCTTCACGTGGCCTCGAATGGCCCCGAGACGCATCATGCTGGCCTGCAGACAGCCCCAGCAGCCCCCAAGTGAGCGTTTTTGTATTCGGCGTTTCGACATTGGGCGGAAAGGGGAGAGTGAAAGAGGGGGGGGGGTCTGGCTCCAAATCTCTGCTCAGTGTGACTGTTTGCAAGAGTGTGGCCTCTGGGTGAGACCCCACCCGTTCGAAACAAACAGGCGCCAAAAAACAGCCACGATCTACTCAATGGGGGGTTTTGGGGCCCGCGCCGATCGGCACTGAGGAGCCTGAGGAGCTTGTGAGCCCGAGGGGCCTGGGGAGCCTGAGGAGCCTGAGGAGCCTGATGTGCCCGAGGAGCCTGAGGAGCCAGAAGATCCAAACGAGCTTGATGGGCAAGAGGAGCCCGAGGGGGCGCAAGGGGCCTGAGGGGCCAGATGGGCCTGAGGAGCCTGAGGAGCCTGCGGGGCCTGAGGAGCCTGAGTAGACTGAGGAGCCTGAAGGGCCTGATAAGCCTGAGACGCCTGAGGCGCCTGAGGAGCCCGAGGAGCCTGACCAGAGGGCTCCAAGAAGACCCCCACAGGGGACCCTCAGAAGCACACGTCGTCCAAACTCCGTCGGGAAGCGTGCCTCCGTGGCGCGTGCGCCCTCTGGGTTTCACCGCGTCTCCACGGCGGCACACGAAGCCCCCTCCTCCTCCTCCTCCTCCTCCTCCTCCTCCTCCTCCTCCTCCTCATCATCATCATCATCATCATCATCATCATCATCATCATCATCATCATCATCATCATCATCATCATCATCATCATCATCATCACCACCCACCACCACCACCACCAAACCACCACCACCACCATCATCATCATCATCATCATCATCATCATCATCATCATCATCATCATCACCACCACCCACCACCACCACACCACCACCACCACCACCACCATCATCCTCATCATCATCATCATCATTCATCATCATCATCATAGCAGCAGCAGCAAGCAGCAGCATCACCATCACCATCACCATCACCACACCATCACCATCACCATCACCATCAACATCATCAATCATCATCACCACCACCACCACCCCACCACCACCATCATCATCATCATCATCATCATCATCATCATCGTCATCGTCATCGTCATCGTCATCGTCATCGTCATCGTCATCGTCATCGTCGTCATCGTCCCATCATCATCCTCTCCTCCTCCTCCTCCTCCCTCCTCCTCCCTCCCTCCCTCCCTCCCTCCACCTCCTCCTGCTCCCTCCCTCCCTCCCTGCCTCCCTCCCTCCCTCCCTCCCTCCCTCCCTCCTCCCTCCCCCCTCCTCCTCCTCCTCCCTCCTCCTCCTCCTCCTCCACTCCTCCTCTCCTCCACTTCCTCCTCCTCCTCCTCCTCCTCCTCCTCCTCCTCCTCCTCCTCCTCCTCCTCCCTCAGAGGACCCAAGACGGCCAACAAAACCCCTCGAGAGGGCTCCACCCTCCCCTGGGAGCTCGGTACGGCCAGCTTGGAGGGAGGGAGGGGGGTCGGATTGCCCTGGGGAGCTCCTTTGCTTCAGAAGCGTTCCCAGGCGGCCTCAGACGGCGTCGACTAGGGCCCACGAGGCCTCAGCACTGCCCAAGATGGCCTCAACGTGGCCTCAAATCGCCCCGGACGCCGACCCAAGCAACCCTGATGCTAATGCGGGATGACGATTAATAAAAAATGGGAGAGAACGATTAACAAACTAGTTTTCTGTTATTTCTGCACAAGTTTCTGACTGGAGGAGAACGATTTCATTTTTTCCCCCAAAAAACGTTTTCCAGCCCGCGTCCGGTTTTTCTAATCGTCATCCCGGGCGCCGCCGCGTGAACACGAACCCCGGTCATTTATTAATCGTCGTCCTCCATTACTCCTCCCTCCGCTTTCACATTGCCCTTCCGCCATCGATCCGCGCCAACTCCGCTCCCTTCCCTTCGTGCTCCCGTTTCTGACAGCTGGGCTCGGAAGCTTTTCGTGTGGAATACCGGAGGACAGCGACTGCGCGGATGACAAAATTCTTCTCCTTCCGAAAGCTGCATGTAGACCATCGTGAGCGGTCCTGGCGCCCTCTGGCACAGCCTTGGGGCTATGGGACTATATTGGGGGGTTCTTGGAGGTGTTTCGGGGCTGTTGCGGAAGCTTCTTGGGACACCTTGCTTGGGCCCTTCTTGCGCCATGTCCCTGTCCTCTGGAACGTCATGGGGCCGGCTGGGAACATGATTGGGCCGTCTTGGGGCCATGTTGGGCCGTGTTGGGCCCGTTTGGGGCCCTGGTGGGGGCGTGGTCTGTCCATCTTGTGCCAAGCTGAGCCGCTCGTGCGACCGTGCTCGACCTTCTTGGCGTGGTATTGTGGGCCTCGTGGCCGTCATGATGAC